ATCAAAAAGAGCTATTTAACTCATTTTTACTTGGTTTTTTGCTAATGATGATTAGTTTAGTCATAGAATTGATTGTATTATTCTCGTCGAAAAATTAATCTAATTTTAAAAGCAAAAAAATAGATGAAGTATTCCGCATACACTTATGAACCTATCTAAAAGCTATTGGTTTGAAGTGATTATCTAGTAACAGAATTCACTATAAATTCACTTATGGAACGATACTATCGCCTAAATAATATATATTAAAAATTAGCTCAAAAATTCATGAACAGTTTGATCGAACACGAGAGAGATAAGTACTAGGTCTGGAAGGAACAGTCATACAACCATTTCTCAAAGTAAATTATTTTAGATTTAGTGACAAATTCATTTTTTTTTATAAAATTTGTTTTTATTTGAGTATTTGAAATGAGCAATCAATATGAAAAATCCTTAGAATCAAAACCGATTATGTCTTTTAAAGAGTAATCTGATGAACTAGTACTTTATTACTCCTCTTATCTTCAATTAACTGTTACTCAATACTGTATCCTTCATCAAACTCCATATTATAACAATAGAAACTACAAAATTATATCGTTTTAAGGTTGTAGTATTGGTATGATGTTTTTTTTAAACCGTTTAAAATTTAGACTAAGGCAAGTATGAGTTTTTGAAATTATTCATCTGACTTTTCAGGAAGTATGTAGTGAAACAGAATATTAACGTAATGTGATATATTCACTTACTGAAACGTTTAAATTCAATACTGATTTATGATAAACTAGAGGAACATTGAGAATTAAGAGAAAGACAATTTCGTCTTTCTTTGCACTCATCGGTTGTGCTTCATCCACAACTTCACGCATGAACAAACATAGAACATTCACTAGTCCAATATTCCATGTTTTTAATTTCATGAAATTCACTCTACAACATGACGATCACTCACTGCTAATAGTGAATCCCAACGTAGGTGTAAGCTCATAAATCTTGATTTCTCACAGAAACCTCTACAATCTATCTATCTCAAAGTTAGTCACTAATAAACACACCAGTTTCATCATCAATGTCAGTCATTCAGTTAAAACGTAGAACTTCATACGTAAGTACATCAGTTCAGGTTGCCATATCACATTAGCACAGAGACGCAACTGTCAGTTCAAATCCCATAGTGTTAGAGATCGTAGAAGTATTAGCGGTGATGGAGAAGATTAGGGTTTGAAGATATTATTCAAGAAGTATAATTCAGTGAGATAAGTTTAGAAAGACAAAGGTTAGAGGTGATGATGAATTCAGACAATTAGAATTTCAGTAAAAACACAAAGAATGGATACACCTGAGCCATTGTAAACGGTTTTCAGCCGTATCGTTCAAAATCTCTAATCATCGGTAACTATCGTCTCGTGGACTCCAACCACAGGTAGCCTACATCTACCAACATGACTCATCATTTAATGAAAGTTTATGAATACTTCTGTTATTAAGCAAGAGATATCAAAGCTTGTCAGAAAATATGTGTCATCATAAAAATGATTAGATTACCATTTTTTTCAGAAGTATAATCATATACTCCCTCTTAATCTGTCAATGAATCTAATCACTTTAACCTATCAACAAATAAAAAAATCAACTTACCAATTAATTTTAATGAAAATGTGCTAATAAAACACTACAAAGTAACATAGTTGTTCATGAAAGAAAAAAAAACTTATTTTTAAAGTTATTCTGATTTTCCTTTCAATTGACTTATTGTTTCATTCTTTTTTTTAAAAGAAAAAAAACAGGCATTGACCTAAAAAAAACAAAGTTTGTTTCTTTTCCTGGTACCCATATATGAAACTCAGGATAAAATAATGAGCCAACGAATTTTTTTTCCCAGATTTTGACACAGGAAATACTTTTAAAGAAAAAATAATCCTTATTATTATTATTATTATTATTATTATTATTATCATTTTTATTATTATTTATGTGTTGGTTGAACTGCATTTTTTTTGTTTATTTGTTTTGTTCGTTGAAAAGATTGCATTTTGGCCGTGTCAATACTTTTTTATTTACTCTATCCTCCTAATTGATAAGATGAAAACATCTTCATTTCCTGAGGTCGAGAGTATTTTACTCAATTTCATAGCGTACACTTAATAAAAACAGAAAACAAAAACAACTTAAAATTAGCAAGATCTTAAAAAATTGGAAAAACCCTGAACATTTTCGAGGTAATTGTTTTTACTTGGCTTTAGCTGAACATCATACGATTGATAATTATTCTGAAAAGAATATGTGTAAAAAAATGTTTACAAATCAATGAAAAATATGGAGAATTTTAATGATCATTTCAAACAAATTACTCAATATAAAAATCTTTACTGAAGCTTCTTAAAAATTAAGATTACTCTCATAACAAAAGGCTGAATCAACCAAAATTTTATTGATAACAAATAAAATAAGATTATCTTCTTGTAGAAATGTAATACAAATAAACTGGTTTTTTATATCTATTGATTTCTTACTACTTGCTCACTTACTTACTTTCGCCTGTTACACTCCCAATAGAGCGTACATAGGCCACCCACCAGTTTTCTCCAACCTACTCTGTCCTGGGCTTCCCTTTCAGGTTCTGTCCAATTTTTGTTCATTCCTCTCATATCTTTCGCTATTTCTTGGTGTAATGTGTTCTCTGGACTACCTCTTTTCCTTTTGCCTTGAGCGATTCATAAGAGGGATTATCTTGTGACGCAGTTCGGTGCTCTCCTCAATATGTGTCCTATCCACTTCCACCGCTTCTTCTTCTTGATTTTCTCCTCTGCTGAAATCTGGTTTGTTCTTTCCCCCAATAGGTTACTGTTGATAGTATCTGGCGAACGGATCCGAAGTATCTTGAGTAGACAACTGTTAATGAATACTTGTATGTTCTGGATGATGGCCTTCGTAGTTCTGCAAGTTTCGCCCCATACAGTAGAACTGTCTTGACATTTGTATTGATAATCCTGATTTCGGTGTTGATTGATAATTGCTATCAGTTCCAGATGTTGTTCAGTTTTAGAAATACAGCCTTTGCTTTGCCAATCAGCGCCATTATATCTGCACCTTGGTTATCCATTATGCTGCCAAGATATGTAGAGATGTTAGCGTCATCCTAAGAATCTCCATCAAGAGTGATTTGGTTGGTTCCTGTTGTGTTGCATCGTAGGATCTTGCTTTTCCGTTTGTGTATGTTGAGACCTACTGCTGCTGAGGCTGCTGCTACACTGGTCGTTTTCTCTTGAATTTGTTGTTGCATGTGCGATAGAACTACCCTAGCCGTCCATTGGATACCGTGCTCCCTTCCAGATGCTGACGTCTTCGTAATCCAGTCGATCACCAGGAGAAAGAGAAAGGGTGAGAGTAAGAATTTTGTATGATGTTGACTATCTTCTCAGGCACGCTGTGGTGTCGAACAAGTCTCCATAGTGTTTTTCTGTCCACACTATCAAACGCTTACTCGTAGTCAATGAAGTTGCTGTAGGGTGGTGAGTTCTATTCAACTGATTGCTCCACAATGATCAGTAATGCTGCAAGTTGGTCGGTACACGAGCATGTGGAGATCTAATCCAGGAACTTCGGTCTCGCGAGCGAACGCTTTATCCCTAGATCACTGGACCGGCACGTAGTGGTGTTGTTTTCTGGCTTTGTGATTTTTAATATTCAAATTACTACTCTTCGTTTTCTGGTCACCAATAAATTAAGAATATATGAATTTATTTTTATTAATTTTTATCTAAAAAGTGGTAATTATTAGTTCTAAGACGAATTCCAGATTAGAGATTTAATTCTCTTAGTATTTTGCTGCTTATCCGAAATAGGAATTAGGAATCAACTTCACACAATATTAATTTAGTATTTCTTATTACCATTATGATGGATTGACACTATTCAGTGTATTGCGAAGGTTATCAAGACAAAAATTTGCATAAACATGAATTACTATTTCATATGAAAAATATTTTCTTGTCCAGAAAAGTTAACTTTCTGACAAAACACCTTAATAGGAAATTTATCATAAAAATTGTAGATTTATCACATTTGAATATGCTCATTGAAAAAAAAATTTATTCACTACCAGCAAGCGACATGAATACGACCCATCATAATCAATAATCTATTTGACTTTTTAGTGAAATAATTCTTGGACACTATCAGCAACAACCTACTTTGGGAGAGAATAAACCAGATTTCAGCTGAAGAAGAAATCAGGAAGAAGTGCTGGAAGTGGATGGGACACAGTGAAGAAGGCACCCGAATGCGTCACAAGACAAGCCCTCACAAAAAACCCTCAAGGCCCGAGGAAAAAAGTAAGACTGAATAATGCATTGGGCCGAGTATTCGAGAAAGACATAACAAGAATGAACACTTTGGACAGAATTAGAAAGGAAGGCCCAGGATAGAGTAGGTTGGAGAATGATAAGCAGCAGCCTATGATCCATTGGGGGTAACAGGTGTAAGTTAGAAGGTAAGTCAGCGAAATATCTTGAACATTATTTCGGTGTAATTAGGCTAATTACTTTTTATAACAAGAAATGAATTGAATTTTAGTTAAATAATTCTTATTAACCTTCATCTTTATGAAATGTGAATGAACAAGTACTTGAAATAATTTTATCAATGGTATTTCTGTCTAAGTCAACATCCATTGGTCAAAATAATTAACGAAGTAAAATTTAACCAATCAGAGTCTCATGGTAGCTGGTAGTGGGGGTAGAAAGAATAACAAAACAAGGTTAGATAGAAAAATAGTACACAAATAAACATATGAAGGATAGCATTTTACGGTCACTTTTAAGTCTCCCCCTTGTATCACTTGTAAAATTAAAAAAATATTTTTCTTACACAGCCATTTGTATCTAGTGATTAAAATTTGTCTAATAGACCATTTTCGAAGACTTCCGAATACCGAACCAATAGAAACGGAAGATGAAGTTAAAATAACTGAGTTAATAAATAAATAAACATCGCATAACAATTATGAGTTCTTTGCCATGGATATGAATTTCAGACAGTATTGTCAACCAACGAACATAACTACTGATATTCATGACACAAACGACGGTAATCAATTTACAGAAAATAGGCAAAGAGAATTCGACAACTCAAGTACAAGTGTAATAGTTACAAATCATGCTGATGAACATATCCCCATTAATATAACCTCTTCAACTATATCAACTTCGATTATTAATCCAACTAAAACCTGCAATAACAATTACGATACTAATGATAATAATATTGCAAATAAACTGCCAATGTGTACCAATTTTTCACGTAATAATACATTGAATCCAATTTTCAACTTTTGGCGTAATTCCACAAGACGTTCAGGCAATTGGGGTAGTCGTACTGGTACTAAAAAATCATTTGTATGGAAATATTTTTTTCATCCTGAATTACATTTGGGTACTAAAGATTTAACTCATACACAATGTATTCTATGTGACAGTTTATTAGCATTTAATAATTCTGGTACAACAACCACCATGTTGAATCATTTAAAAAGTCGTCATAATGAAATTGTTCAACAAGAATATCAACAAACTAAAAAATCACGTTCCGGTTTTTTATCATTAAGAGAAATTAATAAAATGACTAAATTAAATTATAATTTAACAAGTGATAAAACGAAATTAATTGATTGGTCAAACAATTTGATGACATCATCGTCATCTTCATCATCTTCATCAACAGCAGCAGCAGCAGCATCATCATCATCATCTTCATCATTACCGATGACATCATCTTATACAAATGAACGTAATCATCCAACTCTGTCATCAAGACGTACTCATCGTGGACGTCCACCTGGTTCATATAGATACTCTGATTATACCATGTTAAATCATAAATTCAGTCATATCAGTCATGAAAAGAATGATAATATAAATTGTTTGCTGAATATAAACAATCCGAATATGAATAATAACTATGGAGAAAAAAAAGATACAGTTGAAGATAACCAAAATCTAAATCCATTTCAAACACAAATTAAAGTACATACTTCTAGCCCATCATATGGCTTTAATAATGAAAAGGTAATTCTAATGTGTAACATCATTTTTACATAATTGTAATCGATAATTAGGCAGTAGTAACTATTTTATGGTTTACAATATGTTGGAATTTCATTCTCAAAATGATGATTGTTGCAATAGATTAGAATGTTATGTTGAAGAAAAAATCTTTTTTTAATAATTTACAAAGTGAAGTCTAATTAGTTGATTGAGTTTATACTTGAGTTAATTAGATTCTATGAAAAAAAAGCAACAACAACAACTTTTAATTGTCCTTTGACAAAAAATCTATAAACTTGTTAAATTTAACTCTTTGCTCCCCTCCTTTCAGTTCTCTTAATACTAAGAGTAGTAATCAATACCGAATGTGCTTTGATTTCGTCTGAAAGACAGGACTTATCACTTCAACAACCACAAAAATACATGTATGCATGCATTGATCAATGCTCAAAGGATAATGAGCGTACAGTTTTCTATGATGTCAAATGGTGTTAAACAATAAAAGTTTTCGTCTTTGAAAAAAGTAACATCAAAATGTAAACTGACAGGATTATCACTGTTTACGAAACTATCGTAATTTTATATAGACAGTACATTTCTACAATATTGAATTATATCTTAACATAAATGAATTGTTAATAACCGAATCTTTATTATTTCGAACAAACAAAAGCGGCTAAAATACATATTTCCAATAAAATGGTTCAATTATCAGTTTTTTCTGCTAAGTTAAAATTCTACATGAGATAATCAGAAAAGAACTAACTGTAGATAAGTGAAAAACGGATAAGCATAATACTAAAAGACAGGTTGTAATATATTCTCTAATTAAACGTCCATATAGGTGTAGTAAAAAGTCTGCTTGACAAAAGTGGATAGTATTGTTTTTTAGGATTGACATAACGACTTGGCCTTAGTTGAACATTTATTCCAAACTAGGAAGCACTTTATAGCAGTTTTATCCTTTCTTAAGACTTACCAGTAGTGCATACCTATAAATTCAGTGAGAATAGGACTAAGGATTCTCAGGTCTTGAAGCATATCATTGACATTTAGAACAATGAGCTGATATCTAATTGTTGACATGTTTACGTTCAATTAATTCATGATATTGTGAACTATCTTGAATTTCTTTTGGTACATAACCATCTCTTTGATTATTGCTTTTCACTTGGCTCTGTGAATGTTTCGCATGAAATTAGTTACTGATTAAAAAAAATTATTCATATAAGGGTTTGTGGAGTTTTTTAGTTTTAGATTTAATGGCCTATATATAGTAGATTCACATAACTGATGAGTCTCATACAAGAAATAAATAGCTATTCAGTGCACTGTGATTTCTCACCAATGTCTATCCACAGTTAATTCACGATAGAAGCCATAAAATACATACAGTATTGTAGACATACTCTTTAAACTGACCAATAATTGAAAAATTAAGTAGCGGACGAATTTAATCCATGTAAATATTCGAATTGTATTCATTTCCATTAAATGTTCTAATTGTTATTATAATGAATTATGTTTGTTGATTAAAAAAATATTTCAGGGCACAAATTCATCCGATTCTCTATGGTCAGTTCCAAATATGTTTCCAATGTTTCATAATTCACAGTTATTTAATACTTCATTATCATTAGGCAATAAAGAGTTGACAAATCCCAATGAAGCAGCACTATCCATGGTTTCCTCATTAAATTTAAATGATCAACATAAACAAAATTCAAATTTAACAAAAGATTTATTTTCTGAATTATTTACTAGTTATCTTTCCACTTCAATGAATCACCTTTCAAATGTACAATTTAATTTATCTGAACTAACTAATTTATACATGAGTGAATTATACAAACAAATTAATCAACAATCCTTATTGTCTAAGAATGATCAAAAAATTGCCAATCAATCCAATCTAACTAATTGTTTAAATTCATTAGATTTATCATCTTCAAATAATACATTAAAACAACAAACTTTTATCAATGAAAATCCAGTACAGTATAATAAATTCCATACAAACAACACATTGTCTCAATATCAAAATCAATTTTTGCATAATTCACTGCCTACAACAACAAATTTCTCTCTAAAATATCATCATCAATCATTACCGTTTGATTCAAATGAACCACTTGATCTTAGTTTATCTACATATAAACAAAAAATTGAACAAGAAAAAATGGAAAATATTTCCTGTGTTAAATCTTACCATGAAAATTCCCCAGTATTTATAAATGATCCTGATAAAACTAATGAAGACTGGTGTAATAATATATCAGCGTTTACAAAAGTTCATCATCATCATCATACAAAAGAATCATTATCGAAATCTCCAGATCAATCATCAAATCAGTCATTAATGAAGAAAGAAAATTTAGAAATTTCAAAAAATTGTACAAGTACAAATGCAACACATAATGCAAGTGTATTCTGTTATTAATTTGAACATATTTCTTCATATTGTGAAATTTGTGTACATATAAAATTGAACAACGTCTATCGATAAATTGTTTTTTTTTGTTTTGAGTAAAATTACGAACTGTGTTCTTTGAATTCAAAACTTGAGTTAGTTTTTTAGGAATTTTTGTATGATGAAACATTGACGCCATAAAGGCTGTCTAGATGGATGGTAATTATTAACGATACATCTTGAATCTAGGCTCTAGCTTAGTTAGCAATTATCAGTCGACTCAATGGGATTCGAACCCATCCCATTTTAGGATGACAGTTATCTGTGTGATAATCCACAAGATTAAATGAATTGTATTATATATTGATTGATAATAATTAGTAATTGACTAGGTATATTAATTAGCACACACTGTAAAAAACGGAGAATAGTTACTATCGAATTTTTCTCCATAACTCAAATGTTTGTTTGAATAAAACAGAACTTAAGAAAAAAATCATATTTTTCAGATCAACTACTTTTGTTCATTGGTGGTCCGTCAACATTTTAAAACACCGTTATTGTTTTATCGTTTATTTTCTCATTATGAAAATAAAAAAATAAATCAATGGTCAGTTGATAATTTAAATATTTTAGTGATTAGCAATAAATCATCAAAGTAATTAATTAATTAGGCAATAACAACAACAACAACAAATTTCTAACAACTTAAACACAATTCACTTTTAAATATCTATCAGTTTATTAGGTAGTTAATTGTTGTTTTTTTTAAAAATCTAATAGAAGATAACAATATAACTAAGCAATTTATATGGATAACTTAATATTTTAAACATTTCAAAAGTCTTTAGAAAATGAAATCATCAATATAATAAACTATATCGGTCTCAATCAGTCTGAATGTCCCAATTTATAAGAAGGGCAGAAAGTCTTCTTGTGACAATCACTGGGGAATCAGTTTAATTAATATAGTTTCTGAATTGTTAGCCTCGATTATGCTTAGACGCCTAAATAGAGCTCATGTAGAGCAGACAAGAGGAAAACGGGCATGGATGTGGCTGTATAGGCCACATTTTCACACTACGACAGACACAGACACAATTTTAGGCGTCCGACAATAGTTGTCTTCCTGGACTTAAAGGCGGCATTTGACTCTGTTGATCGTGAGGTTCTGTGGCAGTGTCTATCAATAAAATGTGTACCAAAGAAGTACAGTAACCTTATACAAGCTCACTACTCGACTACTATTGGTCGAGTGAGATCTTATGGTGAACTGTCATCGGAATTCTGTACTTCAAGTGGTGTCCGTCAGGGATGTCTACTCTCCCCATTTTTGTTTAATGTTGTCATAGACATGCTCCCAGATATGACCTTATCCTCGTCTGAATTTTCAGAAGTAGGCCTTCTACGAGGAAAATCGCTTACTGATCTAGAATTTTCCGATGTCATAGTTCTATTCGGTGAAGACGATGACAAAATGCAGTCTTCTCACCACCCTAAACAACAATGCAAGCATGTTCGGGATGCAGTTCTCACCCGCCAAATACAAAATGTTGCTTTAAGATTAGGTTGCGTCGGCATCTGAACTAGTGATAGGAAGTGAAGTAGTCGAGCGTGTAGACCTCTGCACTTATCTTGGGAGTTTCATCAGTGCCGATGGCCTGGTGACTGACGAAATTTCAGCAAGGATACAGCTCGATTAGCTTTTGCCAACCTGCGTCACTTATGGCGTAGGTGAGATATCCTTTTTCTGACTAAAGGACGTGTGTACTGCGCAGTAGTTCGCTCCGTTCTCCTATATGGATGCGAAACATGGCCGTTAAGAGTAGAAGATGTTCGTAGGTTACTAGTATTCGATCACAGGTGTCATAGGATAACCAAGTAAGGAATGGTGTTGTTAGGAAACGGATGCTAGGTAAGGATGGCAGATCAATAGATGAAGTATTGAAACTTCATCATTTGGGGTAGATGATACATGTGTTGTGTATGCGCCTCCACCGACTGCCTTATCGAGCTGTTTTTTGCGTAAGAGTAGGCTGGAACAAAGTTAGGGGCGGCCAGACCAAAACATGGCAGAAATCCATGAAGTACTGACAAGTGGACTGAGCCATGTCGGTAAGTGTAGAATACCTGGTTGGGGTCCGCAAGATGATAATAATCGATGGTTAGAGACCCTGAATGACATGGCTCAAAATTGTTTGCAATGGTGCAGTTACATTCATTCATTGTGTTCTCTCAAATACTAAACTTTTTAATTTCTCATCACTTTATCTTTTTCTTGTTAAGTTTATTTCACTAGATTTTACTTCTTGAATATTATCTTCTAATCCTAACCTCTCCGACTACTGCTAATCCCTTTCTACCTCTACTACTATGGGATTGGAATTGACAATTGCACCTCTGTGCTAAGGTGGTGCAGCAACATGAACTGATGTATGTACGTACGAAGTTCCACGTTGCTATTGATTGATTGATCAGTATTAGGTAGATCTGTGTAATTCACTTCAATTCAATTAGTTAATTTAACGCAAGAGTATTTTCAGAGATTGTAGTTTAACTTACAAAATATTCCACTAGTTATGGCTTCTTATCAGAATTCCAGGAGTTGAATCTTAAAACCAATCACCAATAGTCCCTTGTTGAGTTAAGGGATTTGTGAAGATTGTAGAATTTTCATAGTTTCAAACACGAACTGATTTACATTAGATGTTACCTCTGAAGAAAAATGTAAAAATCTAGGTGGATAGCTGTAAAGAATTATATTTATAAAGCCAATAGAATGTTGTATAATAAAGTACTAACAGGTAAAGTGTTAAGAATTTAACAATGATATACAGATAACTGTCATTTATAATTATTCACCAGATGATATATCTGTTTACTTCTAAAAATAACTAGATACCATTAAATTGTCAAGTTCAATTTTACTTGTAAATTCCACTATTTCTTATACCTTGAGGTGAAAATTTAAAATATTTGACAGTACTGGTAGAAATGATTGACAGTCAAAATGTCAATGAACCAGCACCATTCACAGAACAGGACAAGTCAAATTTTTAACACACGGATTTCAGTATACACAACGAATGAAGTTGGAAGAAGCTTGTAAAAATAAGATACGATTAACACCAATCCATTTTCTATTCTAGCCATGATGAAATTTATTTCATAAGCATTAATTTATACCATAATTCATTCGTTTGAATTTCATCTATGTCGTACATCTAAATTATTATATATGCTGATGAATAAGTTCTTACATTTAGAAAATAACATTGACGCGATGACTGTTATGATTAGACAAAATCAAATATATAGACATATATAACACAAAATAACTAGTTACCATTTATATGAGTAAGATAAATGTAATTCACATCAGATTTAATTATCCTCTTTAAATCCTACATATATATATATCCACTTTTTACATAATGACCGACTGAAATCGATCAGTACTATGTCACATATTCATTAATACTGAATAATGATTTCAAAGTTGCTTAACAATCTCCACAACCCGATAATAAAAATCATAAAAATGTGTTAGATAATGGCTGACTAGCTTCGTGAGGATGTAGTGCCTCCACATGTATTCGAGTTCGCTTACATTTAATTTGGTTAAGCACTTTTGGTTAATTTATTTAGCCAAGCCATTTGTATTGCAACAATTTATATGTACCATTCGTTCTTATTATTGTCTGGTTTGTATGAGCTCACATGACGTGTCCTACTTGTCAATCATTCGTCGCTTTTATTCATGTGTGTACATGCCTATTTCGCTTGTCACATGTCTGCCTTATATTTGTCTGACTGTATATTCTTAGTCACGCTCTATCTCTTGGAGTTGGCTCATTAGCCTTCTCCAAATTGCTTCTCCGCTTCGTATTGTGGTGTGACCCAAATAAACGTATTCATCACTATGAGTTCACCTTCTGATTTATAAACCGTCAGACGCTAGTTAGTAACGATAGTCTGGACGAGCTAATTACCGAGCTTAAGAACACGCAGTAATTGGCACACTACAAATGGTTTTCCCGCCGTTGAATCTAACGTACTTATCACAAGGGAATTCTCGGAGTTCAAGTGCGAAGTCATAACCAGCGGAGTTCAACCCTGTCGAGTGTGGAGCAGTGACCACTGATGACAGTAGGTGAGGTTGCGTAAGACCGTGGGTTGACCGAAGTTAGACATTAACAACATTGGATGCCGGCTCAGTCCTCTAGAGGTTAGGCGTTAGCACATAAAAACGAAGGTAATTGCTTCGATTCCCTCGAGTGAGGATTGTGGATGCGCACTACTGATGAGTTGCATAGGACAAAACTGTCGTCCGGTGCTTCCAAGTTTCCAATGGTTGTCTAAAATTGATTAGTTTATGATTCCAAGGTAACTCAACAATCTTCACAATACTATCCTGAAAAAAGTATTGCTTTAGTTTAGTCAATCATGAGTACACAGATTACTGATTTACACAGGATAGATTTAAACGATCGATAAGATCCAACGATCTACGAAAATTTATAATCTTAGTGTCCTTACCAAGTTATTTATGTCAAAACTCAAGAGAAAAGAGATTTTAAGTAGATCAATGATAAAGTCCTTGGATAGATTTTTAAAGAAAAAAACATTAATTCGTTTGAAATTTATGGCCCATCATGAATGTCAATCAGCCGAATACTTACCATTTCTCCTTTACCATTTAGTTTCTCCAAGGATTCTTTTACAAAACTAAAATCCTTCATTTTATTTAGTTTAAAAATGATTACTTGAAAATAGTATACAAGATAAATTTATAACTACAAGATAAAACAGCTAACCTTTGAGTTTTTTCAATTCAAAGGTTCAGTAATAAAAAGTTAGGCATTTACAAATAATCAATAAGATTATTTGACTTGAAGTATCACATCGGTTGACTCTTATCAACAGAACGTATTTAGGATATTGAACGGATAAAGTCATATTGGTGTTGTACTCTCGGTGCTTGATGTATTATTGGTTGTAAAATTTTCCTTGTTCTTTGGAACAGCAAA